TTTCTTTGCGGTTTAAATTCGGTTTGGGTCATAAGCGGGTCGGTTTATAAACGATTCGGATTATGTCGGTTCGGTTTGATACGGGTCGGTTTAAGGGGCGGGTTTACCCGGGTCAATGTCAGTTCGGTTTACAAACGGTTTGGATCAAGCCGGTTTGGTTTGAAATGGGTCGGTTTAGGGGCGGATTTACCCGGGTCAATATCGGTTCGATTTATAAACGGTGCGAATCATGTCGGTTCAGTTTGAAATGGGCCGGTTTAGTAGAGGGTTTACACAGTTCAATTGGTTCGGTTTATGAACGGTTTGGATCATGTCGGTTCGGTTTATAAGCGGTTTGGGTCATGAATTGAATTCATGATTGTTTTAAAGATCGCGTCTTGACCATGATTTAATGAGTTGATACTTATAATACGATAAATCGATAATTAAGAATGTACAAATATTCAATTAGATTGATCAACAAGTGTTTTAAACTTTTAAGTTTTAATAATCAGATATGTAAATATGTTTATCGATTGTAGATTTGTAGTACATACCAATAATTCAATGAGGCAATGATACTTATGATAGTATGATAATGATACCAACCATACATTCGTACGATATGATATACATAATAATTAATCTATAATTACATATACATTAACAATATCGTATTGAATCAATTTCCATTTCCAAACATTGCATTTCTTATAAATTATAACTTACACGAGATTAAATGGATTCGTTATTTAGTTTGTTACTTTATTTAGATTACTAACTCAAACAACTTAATAAGTTAAATGGACGAAATCACGAAATCATGACCATGATTTAATGAGTTGATACTTATAATACGATAATTAAGAATGTACAAGTATTCAATTAGATTGATCAACAAGTGTTTTAAACTTTTAAGTTTTAATGATCAGATATGTAAATAACTAAATATGTTTATCGATTATAGTACATACCAATAATTCAATGAGGCAATGATACTTATGATAGTATGATAATGATACCAACCGTACATTCGTACGATATGATATACATCATATACATAATAATATAATTACATATACATTAACAATATCGTATTGAATCAATTTCCATTTCCAAACATTGCATTTCTTATAAATTATAACTTACACGCGATTAAATGGATTCGTTATTTAGTTTGTTACTTTATTTAGATTACTAACTCAAACAACTTAATAAGTTAAATGGACGAAATCACGAAATCACTAATTAAAGTGGTGATGAAAGCATTATGCAATACTAATGTACGAATAGTCAAATATACAACGGTTAGATTGAATGCCCATGAAAAACAATGGTTAGATTTTCATTACTTTATTAGTTATTAGTATTATTACTTATTAAGTTATTATTAGTTTTATAGTTTATTATATATACTGATATACAATCACGGACTCACAGATGTCAGATATTGTCATATTGATGAGCATTAAGCCATTAACTCATTAAGTCATTAACTATGTCATATTGAATCAATTTCAATTTTGAAACATTTGCGTTTCTTACAATTTATAACTTATAAGTAGTAGTAGTAATAATAATAATAATAATAATAATAATAATAATAATAATAATAATAATAATAATAATAATAATAATAATAATAGTAATAATAATAATAATAATTATAATAATATTATAATAATAGTAGTAGTAAACTAGTAATAATAATAATATTAACAAATAATTATACTAATAATAATAATAATAATAAATAATTAAAAAAAAACGGTCAAAAAGACCTAGAAAAGCACAAAGAAAATCTAGACCGTTAGATCTAGATGAATATTCTAGAATCTACAAAAAAAAAAATGAACGGTTAGATCTAACTTAGATGTTGAGATTGAATATGGACGGTTAGATCAACTGAAGTAAAACCTAAACCTAGAAAAAAAAACCCACTCTCACTCTCTCAGCCATTCTCATTCACTCATTCAGTCGTTTCTCTCTCAATCTCACAATCTGTCATAGTTTCTCTCTCTAACTTCTCAGTTTCTCACTCTTTCATTCTGAAATTCTCAAGAATCTCAAGCTCAATTTCGTTTCATTTGTGTTTTGGATCTACATTTCTGATTTCTAGCTTTACATTCTCGTTTTTTTGTTAATTTTTGTTGTTTTCGTTTTGATTTTTTTCGTTTTTGTTCCGGTTTGTTTATTTAGGGTTTTTGTTTTCGTTTCATTTGTGTTTTGGATCTACATTTCTGATTTCTCGCTTTACATTCTCGTTTTTTTGTTAATTTTTGTTGTTTTCGTTTTGATTTTTTTCGTTTTTGTTTCGGTTTGTTTATTTAGGGTTTTTGTTTTCGTTTCATTTTTGTTTTGGATCTAAGTTCTGATTTCTGATTTCTGATTTCAAATCTTCCTCTCCTTCAAGCCGTCAAACCCTAAGGTAATTTTTTTGTTAATTTATTCGATTTTTTTCGTTTTCGTTTCGGTTTTTTTTTTATTTCAAGTTCTGATAATCTACATTCTTGATTTTTTCTTTTGATCTCCAGTTCAGGTAGTTCTCCATCTTCAAATCTCCTTCAAGCCGTCAAAGGTAATTACTTTTTCCTTTTTGTTTTTTTTTAATACAGTTTTTCTGTTTTTGTATTTGATTATTGTTGTTGTTCTTGCTTGAATATAGTCGAAATATGCCTAAAATGAGTAAAATCTGTTGTTGATTGTATTTTTGTTTTTTACGGGAAAATGGTAGATTTGTGCTGTTTTGTTGTTTATTATGCTCGATTTAAAAGTAATGATGATGGGTTGTTCAGATTATGTGATTATTATTGTTGGAATACATGCATTGTTTATTTATTGGGATTTTAGCTTTATATTTTTAACCCATATTGTTGGAATACAAGCATTGTATATGATTGGCTTAAAGTTAGTACTTAAAATGTACACATATGTGACTGTATCGTATATAACTTTCTATATTCTGTTAGGATATATGTTGTAATCACGTTTGTTGTATAATTCTGAATTTTGAAACATTGACTAGTGCAAATAAAATTCTGAAATATGAACTATCTATTTAGTTGAATTTTGGTATTGAGTGAATAGGATTCACTGTCGTGACTTCAGTGTCAGTCACATGAGACAATGCATGCTTAATTGCTCACTATTAGTATAATCTGTCACTTAATTTGGTACTTATAAGTTATAAATGTTGTTTTTTTTTTGTTTCAGTCATGTCTCGCGAGTATGATGAATTTGACTATGAGAGGCAATCAAATTTTGATATTGTTAGCTCTCAAGCTGCCTCTGTCTCGGTTGATGATGCTAGTAATACCGGCACTATCAATCCTTCTGTTAATAAACGTCAAAGAACCGCAGGTATATGGAAGCATTACACTTTTTTTGTAAAGACGATAGGTAATGAAAATGTAGATTATGCTCGTTGTAATTTGTGTGGCAAAGAATATAAAGCACCTGGTAAAGCGGGTACTTCAACTTGTAGAGCTCATATTAATGCATGTTTGGAAAAGCATGGTCTCCAGTCCGGTAACGAATCACAATTTGATCAAAAAACTTATTTACAAAAGTTTGCTAAAGCTATAATCTGCCATGCATATCCTTTAAATATTGTAGAGCATGAATATCTTAGGGAACTTCATGCATATTTGAATCCTAAGGTGCAGCATGTTTGTAGAAAAACTATGTTAAAGTATGTTATTGCTGAGCATGATAAATATAAATCCTTGTTGCTTGAGTCTTTGGCTAATGTTTCTGGTAGAGTTAGCTTTACATGTGACTTGTGGACTGCATGTACTAACCGAGGCTATCTCACTTTGACTGCTCATTATGTTGATAACAGTTGGTCTCTTAGGTCTAAAATTTTAAATTTTAAACAGCCATTGCTCAGTGATGATACGATAAACGTAAATCTGAGAGCAATTTTGAAAAACAAAAATAAGTTCCTGCTGAGTCCCTTCTGCTTATATTATTCCTTGCTTCGGATAAGTTGCTGATCTGTTATTGCGTGTGTTGGTTCCTGCTTGTTGCTGCTATTTCCTCTGCTCTTGGGTGCTGGGCTGCTGCTTCAAGATTCTGCTCCCAAATCACTCACATTCTCACTCCTCCCTTCATCTTATCATGTATCATTTTTTGCAACCCTAAACTTGATGATGTTTCAGTTGATAAATCTGAAATCTAATCTGGGTAGTAGTGATAGTAGTTTCATTATGTATTGGTATATGTATTGTGAATTTTAATCAATGAAAATGGTGACTTTTTTTAATTGCTTGTTGATATTACTCTAATTTTAATGTTATTTATCTCCAATCTTATGTTATCTTATTGGATGATCATGAATATCAAGGAACAATGAAGATAATTTGGGTGGACTTTATTACTGGAATGAAAAGATACAAATGATATATCTTGTAATTAAAATAAATAAGTAATCTAAAACGATATTAATAATGTCGTTGGCCTAGATCTAGGTGATATAAACCTTTGTATAAACCTAAGCCGTTTGATTAGATCTACATTTATTAACATTAATTATTTAATTGTATTTACTATTTAGCCATTTAGGTTGTAAATAATTCAATTTGAATTAAGCAGTTTGTAATTGGATAAGTTTAAACAGGTTGCGATTCGAAAACAGTTCGATTTTAACGGTTTAACGGGTTATGGCAGTTCTGTTTAGACGGTTAGCGGATTATAACGGTTCGGTTTATACGTGCGGTTTAAACGGTTTCGGTTCATAAACGGGTCGGTTTAAACGGTTAGCGGTTTACAAATGGTTCGGTTTAAACGGTTTTTTTTCGGTTTAAACAGTTTCGGTTTATAAACGGTTCGGGTCATTAACGGGTTTATAAACCATTCGGTTCGGTTTCGTTTCGGTTCGGATTTGCGCAGTTTGGTTTGTTATCGGTTTACGGTCCGTAACGGGTTGACATTGAGCGGTTCAATTCGGTTTCGGTTTGATATTGAACGGTTCAGTTCGGTTTTCGGTTTACATTTATCGGTTTATAAACGGATCGGTCCGTGATGGTTCGGTTCGGTAACGGGCGGTTTTACGGTTCGGTTTGAAAAGTCCCACCCCTAGTGGTTATTTATATATACTGCACTTATAAGACAAAGGAGGAGAGGGAGTGAAAAGTTAGTGTCCAACTTTTGAACTAGACTACATAAAGTGCACCTTAAATCTCTAATAGGCCCGTAGCTGAGGCAAAGCTGGTGGCCCAATGTTGGGAATCCCAATTCAAAGTCAAGGCCGCTAAAAAGAGCTGTAATATGTCAGTTTACTTTCTTCATATTTTAATAAGTGTTTTTTATCAAAACATAAGTTTTTCTCTTAGGATGATTTGAGGAGGTAATTTTGAAAATGGATAAATTTGATGAATGATGTTGTCAGTGTAGATGTTGCCAAAAACAAAATGATTTTTAATCAATGGTATGATTGGATTATCACAGAAGTTATAAATGAAGTAGAGTTTGCATGTGTTTATCTCAGGAGTTTTAGTTTTGATTGAGAAAATTCTATTGTTTTTTTTTCTTTAATGTTTTTTTATGCCAATGAAAATTTTATTTTGAATCGATCTTAAAATGATCCAAAATATGTGGTCAGCTTCACCATCCAATGCAATTTAATTTTGAGAGTTGCACACGGTTGTCGAGTACAACTTTGAGAGTTGTGCTCGACATCTTCAACCGCCAGCAATAATCTAGGCTTAATTAGCCAAAATACGTGTAAAGCCGTCAATAATCTAGGCTTAATGTCTGCCTAACTAAGCTTTGGGCCTATTTCAGTGAGCATACTTGGTTTGACTAAATGAGTTTGACAATGTTTGGACTCAAGTATGGGTTCGAATTAGCTTTCAATACATTCAGAAGTCTACAAACGTTCTTAGGTTTGATTGGTCTAAACAGCAGTCTTGATCTCATCATCGTACTTTCTTTAATTTTGGGACAAAGGACCAAAAATAAATGTCTACAGTTAGCCCTACTTTGATTATTGAGTCTTAAAAAATTGTTATGGAAAAAATTAAATCATTTGATTTTGGAAAAAAAAAACACATAAACAAAATATCTATTCAAGCATAACACACAAGAATTTAACTACTCCCTTCGTTAATTTTAAGTGCAACTTTGGGGGGTTTTACGATTTACGAGGCAAAACTTGATAATGGTGATTAATTATTATAGGGGTATGTAATTAAGGTGGAGATAGAATGTTTGGATAATTAATCAACCACCCACTGCCACCACCAAGACCGGCCAACACCACCGCCGCCTTCACCACCACCACTACCACCCCCCACGAAACCACCACCACAACCAACCCCAAAAAGCACCACCGCTCTCACGAAAACCCACCACCCCCACGAAATCACCACCGTACCACCCACATAAAACCCAGGCCACCACCTCCAAACAACCCCACGAAACTCAAATCCACGACCACCCACCAAAACCCAAATCCACGACCATCCACCAAAACCCATCAACGGAACCACGAAAACCAACCCACCGAAAACGACAACCCACGAAAACCAACCCACCAGAAATTAAACCCCCAACTCGATCCCAAAACCACGACCATCACCGCCTTCACCAACACCACTACCGCCTTCAATGCGGGCTTCACCACCACCAGTACCACCCCCACGAAACCACCACCACTACCAACCCCACAAAACCACCACCACCCTCACGAAAACCCACGAAATCGCCGGTTGAAGTTGAAGAGAGAGAAAGAAGATCAATGGGGGAAGATGAGGATGACAGAGGAGAGAGCAAATATGGGGGAAAATGAAGATGAATGAAGATGGTTATGAAAGAGGAGAGAGAAAATATGGGGGAAGGTGAAAATGAAGATGAAGATGAATGAGGATGGTTTTAGGTTTCTTGAATTGAAGATGAAGAGTTGATGAATTAGATTGGGTTGGTTGGGGTGAAAATTGGGTGAGAATTAGAGATTAATAAAATCTGATTATAGTTAGTAAATTATGTTTTAATTTTTTAAATGAGGGTAAAATTGACATTTGACTAGTTTTTTTTTACTAAAAGAGGAAAGAAAATAGAAAGTTGCACATAATGTTTAGCGGACCAAAATAGTAAAAGTTGTACATAAAAATTAACGGAGGGAGTAGTTAGTTTGAGCTCGGCTTATAACCTTGCTTATTGAATTGCAATATCACGCTCAAGCTTGACTTGTGACACTTTTCATATGTCTTATATCTCACGATATATTAAACAAAACTCAAAAAAATTCTCCACATGACCAGGCCATTTCTACACACAGAATACAGTTAAACAAGATAAATCGTAGCTAATTAATTAAGGACTTATCGTATAACCTTGGGGTCAATGGGTCATGAGTTTAATTTCTCCTAGTAACTCGATTAAACATGAACGAGTTGAATAAATTAAGGGAATTGGACTGAGGTCTGAACTTGAGTTTTGTTCCAGAGAATTGTGCTCGAGTATGGGTTCGAATTAGCTTTTAAATATCATTATATGTTAAGCCTAACATCATCGCACTTCCTTTTAGATGATAAAACCAAAAGTAAATGTCTACTGTTAATCTCTACTTAGACCAACAGTCTTAAACATCCAAGACTCATTTTGTTTGATATGTACCTAACTTTAAAATAAATAAATAAAATATTTGTTAAATAATATTAATTTTAAAATGATATTTTTTGGGCTTGATGTGTGTGGCATTGTTCCTAAACTAGTATGCTCATAATTTTTTTATAAATAATACGAAGGAAGTGTTTAGTGCAATTTTGATTTTGCAATGAAAACCTTTTAAATTAGTGGTTCATAGCTCAAAAAACAATAAATGAAGGATCAAAGCTCATCCAAAAATATGCAATATACTTAAGCCTATACATACCTTGTTCTGCAAGAGATGTTGTAGATGCCCGGACCACATCATGAATTTTCACGTGAGTTTCTCTATAACTACTGTCTTCTTCTTCTAACAGCAAAGATGATGATTTGAGTTCCTCAACCTATCTGTTGGCTTGCTCCATGGCTTTAATAAGGTTGTCAACATTCTCAAACAATTCCAATCCGATGCCATATCTCATCATATCTTCAATTGGTATACTTGTACCAAAAGGAAACAAACAAGCAAGCAAGAAGAACCTCTTTTTCTTCTCATCTTCCATAAGCTTGTAACTTGTTTCCAAAATTGAGTAGACTTGACGATGTACACCCCTAAATTTGGCTAGACTATTTGACATAGGCTTTTCCAATTCAGATGTAAAGTGTTCCCATGCTTCTAACGACTCTTCGTTCTTTAGCACATCGGCTAATGCCACAATTGCAAGAGGTAGTCCTCCACACCTATTCAGCATTCTCTTCTCCATTTTCACGCGTTGTGTGTCTTCCCAGTCATTGTCCTTGATTTTTGCTCCAAGACGTGCTCTGAAAATTTGCTTTGATTCATCATAGTCCAATGGCGTTACTTCGAATACATTATCCTTTGATATAGCCATAGCTTCACACACATTCTTCTCCCTGCTTGTCACCAAAATCTTGCAAAACTTGTTTGGTTCCACATGAAACTTGTTTGGTTCTGGAATCCCTACTTTACTCAAATCAAGTTTAGCCCAGAGGTTATCCAAGATAATGAGTAACTTACTCACTCTCTCCAAACGGTTATACAGTTTTGTTCTTCTTTGGTCTACACTGTGCATACCATCCAATTTCAGACCAATTTTCTCTGCGATTTGATCTTGAATACGTTCCATGTTGGGGGCTTCAGAAATCTCAACCATTATTATTTCTTCAAACATAGATTTTATTTCTTCATGGTTGGAAATTTCTGTTACCAACGTTGTTTTACCTATGTCACATATACATATATAAACCTCAACATTAGTCCTAAGTCTTAACATATGTACTAAGTACTACGTACATTTATAGTAAACATGCAATTTGTGTAATTATTGGCTTATTTAAAATCAAAGTATGACTAGTTATTATCTTGATCTTTAAAAAAAAAAAAAAAAGATATAATCTTGATCTTACCCTAAGTTTGTTGAAGTACGTATGGACTTTCCAAATAACACATTTAAGTAGATAAGTGTATGTCTCACATTGATAAAAATTAATTGAGAGAGTTAAAAACACTTTATAAGGATAGATAAGGACTACTTTCCTATTGTTATATGGCTTTGGGGTAGAAAAAACATCCTTAGACTTTTGAATTGGACTATACATTTTTTGTTTAGTTGTGGGTGCGGCCTAGACATAAACACTTTATATATGTCTAAAAGTGATTTGTACAAAGGGTGCTAATCGAGCGAGTCGATCACGAGCTAAGGGGTGCTCAACTCGACTTGAAGTCTTTTTTCATGTGCTCAACTCGTGCTCGTTAATGTTTCGAGCCAATAAAATTTGTTCGACTCGTGCTCGTTAAAGTTTCGAGTCGAGTATAGTAGCTCACAATCTGCTCGTTAAAATTTTGGCCCTTCTAAAATTCAAGGCCTTTATTGTTTTTTTCACTTTACTCTTTCTTTTTTGATAATATAAATTATAAGTGTCAAATTTATTCATGGTAATAACTTTGTTTGTAAATTCTATATCAATAAAATACTAATTGAGTTGCTCACGAGCTTATCGAGTCGAGTTAGACTTTGCTCAGTCGTGCTCGTTAATATCTCGACTCGAGTCGAGTCAAGTCGAATTAGAATCGAGCCAACTCAAGCCGAATTTTGACCGAGTCGAGCCCGAATTGCTCACGAGCTGCTCAACTCGATTAGCACCCCTTGTACAACTTAAGATGCTTAATAATAATAACATAAAAACATTTAGAATTTTTTTATATACTTTCTAAGCTTTAAGTATAATTTGGTTGGCATAAACAGTTATTAGTTAAGAGTTAAGTAGTTAACAGTCAACTTAATTAAACCAGTAAAACATTTGAAACATGCATACGTGATGCTAGAAAATATTTAAAAAGTATCATATATAAAAGTATTGTATTTACCTATGGCTCCCATGCCAAATATGCCAACTGCCTTAACTTGATCATCTCGTAACTTTTTGAGTATTTCCTCCATAAGCTTTACTCTCGAACGCAAGCCCTTGAGAAATTCATTAGGGATTGATTTCAAATCCGATCTACTTACAGGTTCCGTGACATCATCGTTCGGTTTTCTGTTGATTATAGCATCAATTTCGTCAGCCTTAGATTTATCCTCTTTGCTCATGTCATAGCGTCGACACAAATTGCAACGAGAACGACGTAAGCAGGTGATCATGTCTCTGCCTTTTCTCTCCTCATCATCCTTGGGCTTCTTCACCAATCTCTCATCAACTTCTTCCATTAGTTTACTTACGTCTTCGAGCCATCTTTTAGTTCCTTCTTTAGGAACTCGCAAGTTATCCACTTCGTGCTCAACGCTGCTATCGATTTCTTTTTTTGCAATCGTTAGCAGGTCATACTTGGTCTCAAGAAGTGTTTTATTTTCTTTGTAGTTTTTAATGTAAGAATAGCATTCTGTTAACTTGTCCAAGATGATGGGTTTGCAAGTCTCATTAGCTGCATTCCCAGCTGCTTTTGCCAAGCACAACCAATCCATTTCCCCTTCTAAATGGAAATCTGAGAAGAAGAAATTTAATTTGGATTCATGAAATAACAAAGGAATAAAAATATGAACTGATGATCGAAAAGAAAACAGATTAAATAATCGACTAAACGATTAGAAATCTCTTTGTTAATACAATAGAATGCTTTTGTTTATGTATGTGGTATGAATTATATAATGTTTTGGCAAAATCCACACATTTATAGACAGATAAAGTGTTTAAATATTACTCCTTACACTTGGAATATTACAAGTCCAAACTTTGGTAACTTTATTTTAATATCTTGGCATCAGTTCTTACTTTGGTTTCAAGGTTATTTTTTTAATCAGATGCTATAACAATCTTACCATGAACAACATTTCTTACAACAGGAAATATGGTATTGATGAAATCACAAGCAAATGCTTTGCTTCTTTTGTACCGTTAACAACATATACAAAACCAAGTTTATCTTTTCTAGGGTTAAACATTCTATAAATCTTCATATAAGTGTTTAGGTTAAAGTGTCCTTAATAATAACCTTTAGAATTGAAATTACTTTCTTCTCACTTTATAATTATCATTGATATACAACCACAAGTAAAACCAATTATATCAAACTAACTTACGCCATGTTTATAATATTTGATAGGTTAGCTATTTTATTGTTTGTGCGTGTCTTTTAGCTATTAAAGGTGTGTTTGGCATTAGATTTAAGTATGATTAATTTTAGTGGTTTGACAAATTTAATAAAGAAAAATTATGAGTGGTGGAGTAGGGTCTAGTGGTAAAGATAGCTTTTATCAAAAGTTAAAAATATTAGCTTTTGAAGATTAGAGGAGCTGTTGAAAACTTAATCTATAGTTTTAGAAAAAAAATATATATGAATTTATATATATAACATCTAGTCAATCGCTATTTTACCGAGCAGTCATACTTAATTATCTATCTTCACAGTTAACAGTTATTGACAACGAATAATTACTTACACAACTAACACATACCTCCTTAACTATATTTTACCGAACACGCCCTAAATGTAAACTTTTAATTACCTCTGGACTTGAAGTAGTATAGCTATTAAGTTAGGTCCCGTGCCATGCACGATACGTTATTTTAATTACTTTTGATAGGTTAATTTATTTATAACATAAAATATAAAAATTATTTAATATCTTGAACAAAATTGAAGTAACGTGGAATATTTGATCAGGATCATATTCTTAAAAAATATTCCACCAAAAATACATCTTCTTGAAAAAGATTATATATTTCCTTATTATTCCCTAATTAATTGAGTATCAACATAAAAATGGTAAATATTATTGCTCATTTATATAGTTGACAAAAACAAACTTTTTTTTATATAACTTCCTTAAATATAATTTAGTAATTAATTATTAAAAAAATATACTAAGAACAAACCAGAAATTGACACGTGTCATTGCTGATGTGTCTTTTAGTATATAGTTATTGATCACGAAAAAATGACATGCATATTCCACATGTATACATTATCTAGAGTTATTCCTTTCCAAATGTAAAGTACCTCTACATTATTGTAACATTCGTGAGACAAAAAAGTTTTGCTTGCTTATGTGATTATTCTAGTCTTAAAGGACAACTTCATTGTTTGCTTGTTTATGTGCACTTTGAAGTTTGACTCAAAGGACAAAGGATCAAATCAGCGGAAGTGTAAGATGGTCAACGAATCCAACAACAAATGCATTTCTTTTATAAATACTACCCACAAAAAAAAATTAAAAAAAAAAATTAAAAAAAAAAAAGAAAAAAAAAAAAAAGAAAAGAGGTATGTTGCATTTAGCAAAAGCATTTATACTTAGTTTGGATAGCAAAGTGGAAGAGAAAAGAGGAGGGAAGAAGAAGGAAGGGAGATGAATATGGAAGAGGAGGGAGAAAGTAATGTTACATTTTTCATTTAAATCTTTCCAGTATTGAAATTGGAAGGATTTGGTTTACTGAAAATTGTATAATACACCAGGGTGCACCATGCTCATAGTGCACCTGGTGATGTGGCATAACTAATTAGCATTAAATTAGTGGAAAATTAAAAAAAAAAATAGTGAAAAATACTAAAAAAAAAAAAAACTGGGCGAAATTATAGGGAATTATTCCCTTTAAACTGCTTTCAGTTTTAAATTATTATCCTTAATGGACATTTTTCATTTTAAAAACATTTTTAAAACATTTTTGGGTTTCAATAATACAAAGTATGTTATTTGAATTTGGCTCGTATTTTCTTTGAGGTAACGAGTGACGCACAAATTCTTTTTTGAATTATCATATATCATTATTTTTTATTGTCGTTTGTTCTTTGAGTTTGATCAGTGTATTCTTCGGGTATGAATTATATGTTCTTTGCATTATATTTTATGCTCTTTTAACATATGTATGTTATTTTGAAATTTGAAATTTAATTTGAAAATGAAATCTTCGTTTTTTCTTAGTTGAAAATATTTTAGAGAGAGAAAACTAAAATTACTATGGAAAGTTAATTTTTGGAGAGAGAAAAACAATTTTTGGGGAAATGATATCTTTGGTAAAGTTTTTTTCCATTAATGTGTAATTTTTCATAAAATTTTAATAAAGTTTTTATCACGTTTTTTTGTAATGTCTTTATATTCTTTAATAATGCATGTTCTTTGTTAAACACAAACATGTTCTTTTTTAAAAACCTACATGTTCTTTTTCAAACAGCTAAATGTTCTTTCCGCCTTTTTTTTATTTAACCAGGTGCACCATGTGCATGGTGCACCCGGGTGCACAGATCATGCATTGTTGGTTTACTACCTCTGGTTCGCATTACTCGCAACAAAGAGATATTATTTGTGAGTTATAAAATATTCCTTTTTTGCGAGTAATGCGAACCGAAGGTTATATTTAAGATGGGAAAAAAATGAATTCTTCCATTTTCCTTTCCTTCCCTTCCCTCCTATCAAAAGGTATTCAAAGAAGGGATGGAGGATCCGATGAACTACTCATTTTCTCTTCCATTCATTTCCTTTTAATTTTCTGAATCCAAATAAAGTGTTATAGTTATCTAATAAAATATATATCACAAATTTCCAAGGCGGCCGTAAATCCCCTAATACTTTGTATTTATTTCTATTCTATAAATGTTGGGGAAGATTGTGACGTCCACCTAAAAAGACCACAACATCCCTCTTCCTTTAAAATTGGAATAAAATACTTAGAAAAAAATAGTCAATTAATCAACAAAGGAAAAAAGAAAGATGAATCAATATGCAAAGAATACTTATAATTAAGGCAAAATTAACCGCAACACCCTGAAGTATGGCTTAGGTGCACTGAGCACCCTCCCTGAACTATGCGTAGTAACCAAAACACCACCAACTATGATGTTAGGTGCAATGTGTGTCTTAAATGAAAATTGTCGGCAACTTATTTCATCGGAGGAGGTGAATCCATGCGTGCAAATAAGTTGTCAGAAATTTTCATTTATGGCACGCGTTGCACCTAACACCATAGTTGGTGGTGTTTTGAATACTACACAAAGTTCAGGGTGCTCATTGCACCTAATCTATACTTCAGAGTGTTCAGCCAATTTTACCTATAATAAAAAATAAAAAAAAAATAAAAAAAAAACATCTGTATTTGTTAATTTATATTTCATTTGTAGAAACGGGATGGCTTTTTATTTGTTAATTTAGATTTCATTTGTAGATGTCGGATGGCTTTTTATTAATTTGTTTTAAAAAATAAAAAATAAAACATTTACTTGAATTAAGTCCAAAAATAAATAAATTACATTACTTATCTTGTATCTATATACAATCAATCAATACATGACTCCATATTTTCAATCAACCAATTAATTTATTAAATCAAAATCATCTTCCATAAAATTATTAAGTTAATTTACGATCATTAGTAAATTTGATATTGTTTTAAACTCCATATTAGTATTGATGTTTATATGTCTATAACGAAATAATGTTAATCAAATTCATACCATCTACATTGTCAGATGGGTACCAACCCAACTCTATACCTTCCTCCTTTCATATCTTTTCATATCCACGAATTAATACATAGAGTACTATTTACATAAAATTGGCATTGTTGTAATTTGATTTAAATTAGGTGCCTTGAAAAAAGGTCCAAGCAAGAAAGACTGTATCTTAGCCTCTTAGGGCATTTGTTTATATTCAGGTGTAGCAAAAGATGACAACTTAAATTGAGTTCCGTAGTGTACAAATGCAACTCAGATATTTGTAATAATTCTCCACCACTCTACAGGTTGGACATCAAGTTTTTTTCAATCGAAAATAGAGAGAGAAAGTAACAAATGTAAGAGAGGAGATAGAATACACTTCACAATAAAAATGAGAGCAATAACATTAAAGGAGCCATAATTGGAAATTTTTTGTTGTCTTAAATAGTGGTTTAATCAAAATATACTTCGTACAAAACATCATACTCCGTATTAATTTCATTACTTTAAACAAAAATCTGGACATTAAATGAATTGAATAGGAGGTAAAGCTGGGGAGGTTGAAGAGAAGTAAACGAAGGTGAAGGAAACTGAGGAAAATAATGGGAAAAAGACGAGGTGGTGAGTGCCACTAAAAGATTCTTGGACGAAATCTACTAAGTGATGGCAAAACCAATTTATTTACGGAGTATTATTTTTAGCAAGGAGATGAAAAAAAAAATGTACATAGTAATAAAAAAGATCCCAAGCAAGAAAATGATTCGACCAAGACGTAAATATTCTGCATTCCACCTTAATTAAAGGGGACTCTTAAAACTTCTTTACAGGTGCTTCCACAGTACTTACCTCTTCTGGTTTCATGCCTTCAATTTCTGGCTTTCGCCTGTCCTAAAAAATTTAAAAAAACAATAAGAGGGAAAGAAAAAAGAACAGCATGCAGAACCTAAATTTGAAAGTGGGGAAAAAAAGAAAGAAAAACACTTATGGTCCATAAAACAGACTGATATTTGAGATTTACATGGGGGAAAGTGACGTCTAAAAGCTTTGTGCAGATACTTGTTACTGCAGCCTCTCTTCATTGCTAACATTAAGGCCCTCGATTTTCTTGATGGTAGATTCAAGATTTTGTTCATTTGACGCTACCCTGGCAGAAAATGAACGAGGATGCTCTGATGACACAAATGGAGATATA